ATCAGATCGTGTGTAATTATGGGTCAGGAATAAGCAACCACGATCTCCAATGAATTCATTGCTGCTGTTTATAAAATAGCTAGACATAATCGAAGAACTACATCTGTGTCACTCTGTCTGAGCAACGAAAACATGCAATCTTCTTCTGTCACTGAAGCTGTCACTATTATGCATTGTTCTGTCATGGAAGCATCCATTTTTAACACGACTTTTAATCCACTTCAAATGCTCTTATGGGAACTGGTAAATAAATTATGATTAATCTTCAGCACACCCCTTTTTTTATAAACTTGGATGGTTGTGATGCTATTAATATACGAAGTAATCACGCGTGTTTACTCCTCATTTTAATTGCAATCACGCACATATTGCATGCATCCACCACGCGTGACTTGATATGCACTGCTCACATAATCTTATAGTATTTTTTTGTCCTTCCAATGGTGAAAAAATAACTTTATTTACTTAAATTCTTTCAGAGATAGAAAAGATGCAGGAATCCGAACCTCGAAAGACCGAAGTACGCAGACAGCGAACCCTCTTATCACAGACCAGTTGGGTGAGCACACCAATGTTCCCTTATTTGGCGAGGACTTTTTCAACGTCTAAAACGGCCAACAACAAAATACGTGATGATCCCCCATCCCCTCACTCAGGCTGCAGCATTTGCGGTCTATGGAGACCGAGACCATCTTCAGCGATGACTGATTCACCTGATGAGAAAGTGAGGCGTCCCCTAAGCCGTGAAATTAAAGAAGAAGAAGATGTTAATGAAATTGAGGATGGTGGAATGCTTGAAGATGGTGGAATGCTTAAAGATGGTGGAATGCTTGAAGGTGGTGGAATGCTTGAAGATGGTGAGATACAAGTAAGAGAGGACGATGATGCAGTTTGAATGTTCCTCTCGGAAAGACTACTTATTTTGTGGGCTCAGAATATTGGGTGGTCACAGTTCATTAAATTAGGTTTTTATTTGTGCCTATCATCCGCAAATATTGTTCAGCAATTTACGTCCTTGTTTCTGAACCACCAACATTATTCTCAATACCACGAGCGGCATTACATGTTGTTTATTGAACACGTCGAATACAATAGAGAGAAACACATGACTTTAATCCGATATTTTTTTCTCCTTCACTTTATTGTAAATTGACTTTCGTTTCAACTTAGTCATGTGAAACTACAGAATAGGTTATTAAAACAAAGTATTGATCCTCTTATTGATGTTCGGCATCCAGAGTGGATGTGTTAGTCAGCAACAAACAACAACAGTAATTACATTATTAAATTCAGTTATTTATTTTTTGAGTGTTTATATATATATATATTTTTATTTAATTCGTATTTATTTTCATTCTTTCATTTACCTACACATGATAACCAAATTTGGCATTGATTTTTTGTTATTTGAATAGCAAAGTTTATATTTTTGTAAGCAATAATGAAAGTTTTATTAATATTTAAATATGTTTAGGTTGAAAATACTTTTCATTGCAGAGAATATGTGAATGATCAGAAACAAACTGGTCAAAAAGTTACTTAAGTGCTACAATTTTGTGTACGAAAAAATTATGTCAATATTCCAAATGACTACCTTAAGAAGTCCACCTTGAAATATTTTGCTGGTCTTTCGAGCAAATAGGGTTTAGGAACACTGATTGGATTTGTTTTTCAAGTAATCTAATGCACATTATTATTTGCAATGTTGATGTATGTGTTTAGAAGCAAGAAGAGCATAGAAGATTTAGCGAAAAATTTAGACGCTCATATTGTTAAATGTTATCTTTTAAATTCATTCAAAGACTTAAAACTATTTTCACTTGAGCTATACATAATGATCAAAAACAAGTTATATTTTGAACTTTCGTATGTAAAATAGGAACAGGTAAGACAGATTTGGAGATAAGATCTTCTCTTTTATGTTTCTCAAAAGACTCCTTTTCCGAAAGTAGAGAAAAAAAATTCTATTGTGATAATCTTTTGTTATAGAGACTTGGTGACTAGAACTACTTTTCTTGAAACCTCGTTTTGTTTGCGAGGAAAATTGTTGTGTCTTGTAAATGAGAATATTTCAAGAGTAAAGAGAGAGAAAGTTAAGGATATTTCACGAGTATTTGAATGAATATCAAAATATCTCTGGTTTTTTAAATGACGAAAATTTCTTATACCTTTATTATTGAGAGTATAGTGTTTGCAATAATTTACGTGAAATTAATGATTTGAATTGAGAAAGTACTACTCTTTGACGCATTAAAGGTTTGATATGTACTAGTACTATATAAAGTACTATATTAGTACTATATAAAGTAGTATACTATAAAGTAAAATACTATATAATGTACTATATTCTGTACATACTATGCTATACTAGTACTATATATATACAGTATATACTATACTTACACTATAGAAGTACTATATACTGTAGCAATATTCGTTGGCATCTGGAAGTATGAAAGTATGTTTGTTTTAAATACCAAAGTACTTGGACTCGAAAGTACTAATATTTTAGGTTTAAAAGTACTAGTGTTTGATTAATTAATGTATAGAATAAAAAATGGCACTGTTTTACTGAATGTAGTTTTCTATAAATGACTTTAGTTTAAGACATGATATAATTTGAGTAGATTGAAAACTGCAAATTTTGAGAAATAGTCGTAAACTAAATTATTCGTTTCTAACTAGTAGATGGAATGGCGCCTCTTAACTGTTTCGTTTTCTTTGTAAATACTTGTTTCAACTGTTGCTGTTACTCAAAGCCAAAAAAGTGGTACAACCGGTGTTACTAATAACTATAACAAATAACTACATTAAAATTTAAAATCAATGAAAAAAATATTGTGTTCATAAAATTGCGCATAATTACTCTGTTCGTAAAGTTTTGCTATCACTCATCTCATCCTCTCTTTTCACACAAATGTTATGATCTTCAATTTGAAGTAGTAAATAAGAAATTTTTGGTTCTTAAAGAACTCCGAATAACACTTGAAGAAATAACTGTTATAGTATATTAACATAATTAACTCGTACATACTGTTTAGTGTAAAATTAGGAAATTTCGCTACAGACCCGTGAAAGGGTGTAGCTTTTTTTTAACTGCGAGTACGTTTCAAAACATTTCGTAACTTTTTTCAGAAATCAAAAATTTTAATCGATTCAAAAACTGTTGATATTAGTAACGTAAAGCATTTTTCAAAATACATTAAACGTTACAAGGATCATTTCTAAAATGAAGAGACATTTTCAGAAACAAACGTGAAATAAAGTAATTTTCAAAATATCATAAAATATTTATAATAATTTCGTATTTACTAAAAGAATAATATTAAAATGCTCATGGGGTGCATTTTCGACAAAAAAAAGTTGAAACTGGAAGACGACTGGTAGACAATTTTTTAATCGCCGTGTGGCCGGTGGTGATCGTTAATTTTACCCTATAATATTCTGCAAAACTTGGGGTGCTTTATGTATTACCAGTGGGCTATACTCCCTGTTCGCTAACGCTCACCAACCCCGATGATTACTTTGCAATAATTACTGTTTTTTTTGGCATAAAACAGTTGAAATTATTCAACTAAAAATATATGTAAAAGAACACTAATTGCCTCCACTTCCCACTTCCAAATATTTTATTTATGATTACTATTAAGATCTGCAAGTGAACATAAATCATTTTTGTAAGTAATCATTTTTTGAAATAACATTTGAAATTGAAAGTATATATTGTTATTAACAAATTTGGTGAGTTCACAACTGTAATTTAAAATTTTTGCTTACCTAAAGGACGGATGTATTTTAAATACAATTTTTACATTCATCACTTCTTTGTGCATGAAGCTAAAAGTTAAGTTCCAAATCATTCAACGAATCTCTTTAACAGTAATTCATAATAGAACAATAATTTAATTTGCACCAAGAAATAATAATAGTAAAACGGTTAATAAGATCAGACACCGATTTAAATATCTAAAAATGTAGAGTAGAATTGCATTATTCTGATAATAATAATAAAAGCAATCTTCCTAAATTCTTAATTTAGAAATGAACCGAAATCAAAAACATTATAACAACAGTAAAAACCTTTAAATTAGGAACGTAAAAATATTTGTAGGAAAGCAATACCCTTGTGACTTGTATCAATTTTATGACAACCAAACCAATATGAAAATGAATGTGGGAAAACTGGATCCTACCTTCTGATCTTCCAGCCAATAAAAATGTATTGACATGACAGGAAAACCTCGACACTACCATTAGATTTTTATATATAGTTAGAAATAAAGGTACTTGCGTAGAATCGCCTTTATAAAAATATGCTTCTACTGAGATGAGAGTCATTTTAGTTAAACAATGTCAACACCCAGATGAAAGTGTCATCGGAATTTATTTAAAGGCATTTATGTGTATTTTATTAGTGTGTGTATCATATTGTTTTCTACCTCATTTATTGTCTCTTGATATTTAATGAATGTGCAATTAAGTGTGATATTTCATTCTCGATGGCTTTCTTTCACATATCTGTATCTGCATATCACTTTATGATCGAATGAAATAAAAATAATTGAAATTCTGTCTGATCTCATTTTGATAGATAACAGAGAAATGAATTTAATAAACGTTCAAGATCAATTTGTGTAGAAAGAGCAAAAAACTTACGTTTATGAGGACGGGAGTTCGAATCCAGCCGGCCGAAGATTCCACGTGTAGTAAAAGGTGACTGGTGCACGTTATATCTGTCGGTCCACAAAGTCTTCCATGTTCTCACAACAAATTATGCCTCTGGGGGTACTGAATCGGAGATGTTCTCTGGTTCAGGTCAAAATTCCGATGTGTGGATGAATGAATGGATGTATAAATGGGTTCACCCTATAAACGGGTGTGACGTATTTGTGTGGCAGAAGTAGAATTCTTGGCCATAAATGGCGCCACTGGAAAACAAAAACAATCTCCTCCTTGCCTTAATGGTCTACGTCAACAACAACAACAGAGAAAAAAAGGGCTTATTCTTACAAATCAAGGAGTTATGCAATAGCTACCCTTCATAAATAATTCAGAAAATCTCAAAGTATATATGATGATATAGAATCCTTTTCGTAACTACAGTTTTTCACCTTTATTTATTTTTTATTTTCTGTTTCACTCTCGGTGCTTTTTCTAGTTCTATTTTTAGAATTTATTTCCCTTCGGATACTTTGAGTTTTCTGTTTCAAATATCTTTTGCTTTCCTCGTTTTGCAAATCCTCAGCACTTATTTTTTTGAGCCCTTTCTTTTGAGAAATGAAATCATTCAGCAAAATAAATATCAACAAGTAAATAAGTTTAGAGTTCTTGAATAAATTAAAAATGCTCTTCAAGAATTTCAATTTAATTTTTGAGTGAATAAAAACTCTAAAGAAATGAGCAAGTAGGGGATCATTAAAAAATAAAATAAAAACCTTGTTCTTATTGAACTCAAAAAGGATTGCTTCATTAAAAACATTCATTCGCTACGAAATGATTAGAAAAAACAGTCGAGCTGTTTCCAGCTCCCAAAAATAGATGCTCATTCTCAAGACTTGCTAGACGTGAATGAGAAGTAACAAAAGGGATTTAGAATATTAGTTACGAACTAAAAATAGGAAAATTAAGGTGATAAACAAAATTATAAAAGGCTTAGTAGTCGAGACAGAAAAAACAGAACAAGAAAAACCACTGTCGCTGAGAGGGGCAAATCAGGGTCAAATGCATTTCTACACGCATTCACCATTCATATGAATTAAAGAAGGCATAAGATGTGCTGATGTGTCTGGGGAGAAAATAATTTTGTCATTGTTGGAATTGGATTTATGGCCAAGATTACAACAGTGTGCAGCAATTGCCGATTTTTCGAACTCTTGATAACGAACCTATCTATCGCGTTCCTCAAGTCTACATTTTAGATTGCATCTAGTTTGTCCGATGTAGCCACTGACAAGGAATATGGTAAATGTCCTATCGATTATCAAAACTAACAGGATTCTTAAGAGACTTCAATTTAATTTTAATAACAGAGCTAAAAATGTTTTTAAAACCAAATATAGCAATTTTATATCAAACGTGTGGAAAAAAACCCAATAAAGTAACATGTCCTGAGTAGGGATTAGAAGAAGAGTGGGTCTAATGAGTTTAGCAAGAATTGGAACAACTCTAGAAGGTTTAAATCCACAGTCAGCAGCGTGTGAGAGGAGGAAGTTAAAGGAAAACGAAAGTATAAAATGCAGAAGGAAATTAGAATAAACATGGGGGGGGGGCAAGGAGACGGCAAAATGTTAACGATGAAAAGAGGAGGAAAAAAATTATCTTTAAGCTACAAGAACATCTAAAACAGGTAAAATAAACTTGATTCCTGCGTCTAAAGTAAATGGAATGTTTTACTCAACAGAAAGTAACTCTTAAAAATCTGTCATCGTCAACCTATTTTTTCCACCGTAAGAATTTTAATACTCTTATTTCAAAATAATGGCACAAAGAATGGTTGCCCAGGGCTAAACTCTCAATTTGTAGATAGAAATTATTATTGAGTTGAAAAGCAGTTCGCTGAATACAGGAATTGAGCAGAGAAGATTAAGTAGTAAAATTCTTGCAACGGCTGTTTTAACAACCCCCATAGCACTAGAATATGGGGACATTTGTGAAACAACCTCGAGAGAGAGAGGATAGTTTTGTTGAAAGGGGGAGTTGGGAATTTTTATGAACAGTATGGATAGTGTTGGAGGTTAGACATGAGGTAAATAGCAAACAAGTGGATATGAAGTGGTATCCGAGTCTAAAAATAAATTGAGACTTTAGGACGATTTAAAATAGAAGGAGTGACATAATATTTAGTAGTGTCCGATATTTTATTCTTAATAAGCAGTAGAATGAAAAGAGAAAGGATCAAACTTGTGTAAGGGCATTCTCAACAGTAGTCAGATGCGTTGAGAGTCTGCTAACCTTTGGCAGAATGATTCAATCAGTGAGACGCTTTAAAATACAGGCAACACGAGAGATAGGTCCTGTTATCAAGAATGCGAGAAATCATCCATGCGAGACATCAGTTTATCTTGATGGGAAAGAAATCTTATTTTATTTACCGGAAAGCCCTTCTGAACGGCATTAGTTTCTTACCACTTCTCTATTGCGCGTGGAAATGAATTTTACCCTGATTTGCCCCTCTCAGCCACACTGTTTTCCGTTTCTTTCATGATTCTTCCTCGACTACTGAGGCTTTTATGGTTTTGTTTGTCACTTTCCTCTTTTCCTTGGCAGTTTTACATTTTGTATTTCAAATCACTTCTAGTTCTTCTCATGCACGTCTTGCTAGTCTTGAAAATGGGCGCCTATTTTTGAGCACTTGAAATAGGTCGACTTTTATTTCCAATCTGTATATTTTTGAAGCGTATGAAGTGTCTTAATGAAGTAGTATCTTACCACTTTAATTTCATGGGATTATTTACTCTGTAAGGAATGGTTAGAATTGGAAAACTTTTTTTTCACCACTTAATTATTAATTTGTGATTTATCCAAATGTGCACGGTTTTTTCTTCATTTTTCGAAAGATATTTGAATATATATGCGAAGAACAAATATTAAAAATTCATTAAAATTTAAAATGTTGTTTGTTAACCAATGGATAAAATTAGATAACAAGTATAAAAGAAGTTTTGAATTTATTTATTTATTTATTTTTGATAATGAAAAATTAAAACTAGAGAAACCTACATTAAAATAAGAATAAATGAATAATAATAATAAGTTTCTTTTAAAAAAATGATAAATAAATGAAAACTTTATATCCTCATCAAAGAAACTCTTGTCAGGAAGTGATTCAGTAAATAGAAATAAACCGCCAAATAAGTAATAAAATAATCAATGGAGACGTCACAGTTTTGTGGAAGTCAATTTATTCGTCTTTAGCTGTTTCGCAACTAGCGTTTTACATTTTTATATTAATACTAACCACTTTACCATGAGTCACTTATATTATCATAAGCAAAAAATATTCTCCCTATTATTGTTTATTCTAATGAGAGAATTGAATTTGTTGAGTAAGCATAAGATGAATTATTACGAATACTTAATTTACTCAACTTTCTTATCACTTTTAAGAAATTTTATAGAAAAGAATATTTTGGGAGTAATCTAAAAAAAAAAAAAAAGAAAAAAAAAGGAAAATATCTACAGAATGGTTTAATACCTCTCTCGTACAAATAGAATTTGTTTTGAAAAATTATAAGTGCTGCCATCTGGATAAAATGATTTAAACAAATGTTTTTGATATCCTTTAATGTGGGATAAGATTTGGTGATTTTGGAAGGACAGAGCTGTGGATGAAGTAATAAAATGTTCGATTCTGACTTGTTTTCCAACTCCGACATATATGTGATTAAAATGTATACTGATTCCAAAAAAAGTATTAATATTAGTTAGTAGATGTTAATTATAATCTATCTATATATTTTCTTTTTCAATCACCGACTTCTGGGAATAACCTCTATTAATATAATCTTTTGATGGCCATTCATTTGCTTTAGGAAAATAAAAACTGCTATTTTTCGCCGTCTTATAAGTGGAAGATGAGAAGTTGCTGCAAAGAGAGGCCCTTTAAACTCTGAAGAAAATCATCAAAAATGATATAATTTTTTGCATTGGCTTTGTTGTTTGGTTGAATAACACAGAGGTTAATGCCGGCAAATAAAGTATTTATTAAAACATAATATGAGGAAACAATAGTTCGCACACACAGTGCTACACATCTGAATCAACCAACAACTAGTCAGCTTTTTCAACAAATATATATCTATTTCCCCTATCGGGAAGTCGTTGTATTACATCACGCAACTCGCGCAACTTATTTGAGAAGGAGAGGAAAAATGAGATTTTATTTGCATATTAACAACAGGCTTAATTGCTCAATCCATTTTAGAAAAATGTGTTGAACTGTTATAGTCATTGAAATTTTCGTTATGATAAAAAATAAAGATTTGAAATAATCTTAAACACATATATCCTTCTCTTATTTTGTGTTTCAGCTTTTTAATTTTTAATCTTTTTAAATTTTAAGTATTTCTTAAAAATATTTTATTTACCAATATTTCTTCTTCTTCTCTTTAAGGAATGTATATACTTTTATTTTCATGTCTTCTTCGTATTTTTAACCTGAGAAGGGGAGGAAAGCTTCCCTATAGTTCCAATCTTTCTCACAAGATCTTCGGGAAATCTCCAGGAAGGGAGGAAAGGAAAAGTTCTAATACAGTGACAAATGTAGCAAACGATGAAAGTATGAAAATATATATATATA